GAGATTGAAGGATCATGAGATGGAACGAATCGTTTTGTAATTCGAGCAAGTTCTTTTGCGGAAATTCCATAACCATTAATTATTGGTATTGGATAAACAACTTTGTGCTTTGAAGATTCGGAAGTTTCCGATTCAAATTCCGACATACTTAAATAACCCAATGAACGTAATCCACCACCACACATATAAACCGTAAAGCCATGTTCATCTTGCATGGACTTGGGAGGATTCAACTTTTTCAAACCTTTTTCTAAATCACTTTTTAATAATTTAAATAATTCATGACGTTTTCGTGGTTTATCCGCTTCATCCAATAATTTTGTTAACGCAGCAGCACCGTAAGGAAGGTTTATCGGAGAATCAGACATTTTGATTGTACCTTCTTTAGGATGATGAATTACGTAATTTAATTCCACAGAGCCGCCACCCATATCCATGACTAGACCTTCAACACCATAATAAGTGGCAATTATACCCATAGCGGAAATTTTAGCTTCATCATCTTTAGAAAGTAATTCTATTTCCCAACCTGTTGCATTATAAATTCGTGAACGAAAATCATCAGAATTAGGGGCAGTTCGTGTTGCTTCAGTTGCTAGAACACGAACATCATTAACTTTATAAAATTGTGAAAGTAATTTAAAACGGTTTAAGCTATCTATAACGTCAACTATTACATGTTCCGGGATTGGTATAAGCTCAGTACCAGAATATTGAGCTTCAAACAATGATATTGGAGCCCTTTCTTCATAAATTACAGGTAAATGACGACTCAATGAAGATACTAATCCAAATCGGATACCATTGCTTCCAATGTCCACGATACCTTTCCCATGTTCATCATACTAATGAAGATTAGGATTAAAGTCGTTAATGTAAATTGTTTTAAGTTAAAAGTACAAAAGTAGTATCTATAAAAATGAAAATTTACCATTGTGTCGTTTTTTTTTAAAAAAAATTTTTAAAAATTTTTGTTAGCTTTAGAGAAGCGGAAATACTATTAAAATACTATCAAAAAAACTGTGGGGAATTTTTTGTGTGAAAGGTTACAATGTCGTTACGTAACTAGTGTAAATGTAACGGAATGTAAAATTTGCTTTGGACTAAAATTTAAATATATACTGAGTAACATTTGAAAGCATATGTTAGGGTAAGAATACGTTGGCGAGATTTTAATGATTTAATCTAATGCAGTTATTAATTTGGCGCACAAAGTAATTATATACAAATATGCGACGTATAATCACGTGAACGAGGTTGATATGAGTGCGTGAGAGTGAAAACCTGGAAACCGATTTAATGATTTACTATGATCGGTTTCCAGGTTTTCACTCT